GAGGGAACACTGGAAGCTTCTGACTACTCTGCCATCTCAGCCTGGCCTCCCTCTGGTTTTTTTCTTTTTTTTTTTTAACTGTGAGAAAATAAATATCTGTTTGCTAAAGTCACCTACTTGTGGTGTTTCTGAAAAAGCCTCACTAAGAAACTAAGACACACAGAAAGAGAAAGGAGCATGATTCAAATTAGTCCTGTTAAGATTATCCCTTTTAGTTTATTTTCTACTCTGTATTTCCTCTTTTCTCCTTCACTGTAACTGGCCTAAAATGAGTCTCCTTGTTTTTATGCAGAGAGAGGTCTCCTTGTTGGCACTCAGATTAACTGCTCAGATAAACCCTATATGCTTTGTGCTTTGGTTATTTTGACAGTTTGAATCATCTTCTGTCAATGTATAAGTCACTGTTATTTTGGGTTTGCTGATACCTTCAACTAAACCCAACTCTAATCTGAAATACCAAAAAATACAAAAAAATAAGAGTCAACCAGAGTTTGAGTGAAATTACCCAGGAATTTAAATTTGGAAAAGAATGTTTAATAAACTTTACTAAATTGTGCCCTAGGACTCTTCCTCATCCCACCCATAAATTCTAAAAAGGCAACAAACAAGGACAGAACCTAGAAAGTGAAAACCGACTATAAACAATGAGGTTAGCTGATCACTAATGGACACCCTGGTGGATAAACAAGCTCCTCTTCAAGTAGGTTGGATGCTGGGTGAATAGCATTAAAATTTTTGAGGCAAGGCTCCTATTAGGCCTGGAATGCTGCTTCCAAAGAGCGTCTATGCTTCTGAAATTATTTCACTTAATTGCAAGGAGAAACTCACCTATAGAATCTGCCCCGGTTTTCAGAAGTTAGGTACTGCATGCAATCAAAAATGGTATTTAAAATGCCTATGGGAATTCAGTAGAACTACTGTCATGTGGGGTCTCTATAAAGTAAAATCGAATTCATTAGCACCCAACAGCAAGGCAGCTGACATTGGCTTGATGAGAATAAAAGAAAGATTTTAAAGTACCTTGAAATTTTTAAGAAAAAGAAAGTATTACTCTCCATTCATACAGTGAGCTATCTCCTTAAAATTTATTCAAATTCTTAAATATTCTAGTGTCCAGTAAAAAAGCAAACATTTCAGTATCTCATACATTCTCCTCCTCTGCTTAAAATAGTATCAAATGGATGTCGCTTGATTATTTTTTCTCTTACACGTCAAAAGATGGAAATTGATTTTTTCTTTGCATGTCAAGGAGAGAAATGGAGAAGGATGGTGAGGTTATCATGTACCTTCTGGGTCCTACCCTGGGGTTCAGGGATGGGTTTCAGGAGTCATGACCCCCCTAAAGCTGTATATGCGCCTTTTTCTTGGGAGAGGGTCCTTAGCTTTTGTCAAATTCTTAAATGAGCTTAAGACAATGAATGTAGGTTGGATGGTGCAAAAGAATACTCCTCGAAACAATTAAATCATGTGAAGTACCAGTGGAGTCGTCACAAATGAGGGCAAGCTAGTGAGCCTGAAGGCTGCATCTCCTTACAGAGTCCTGAGTGATGACATCAGGAAGTTTAAGACATGATGTAATAATTAAGGCTACAGAAGAAAAGCAAATAATGACTATCACCTAACACTGGAGTACTCTCTGAATAGTCATTTTCTAATCCTGATACAGGCATACCTTGTTTTATTGAGCTTCACTTTATTGCGCTTCCCAGATATTATATTTTTTACAAATTGAGGTTTGTAACAACCCTGCGTTGAGCAAGTCTATTGGCGCCATTTTTCCAACAGCATGTGTTCACTTTGTGTCTCTGTGTTACATTTCGGTAATTCTCACAGTATTTCAAACTTTTTCATTATTATTATATCTGTTATAGTGATCGTGATCAGTGATCTTTGATGTTACTATTCCAATTGTTTTGGGGTGCCACGGCAAACTTAATAAATGTTGTGTGTGTTCTGACTGCTCCACTGACCAGCTGTTTCCCTGTCTCCCTCTCCTTGGGCCTCCCTATTTCCTGAGACATGACAATATTGAAATTAAGCCAATTAATAACTCTACAATGGCCTGTAAGTGTTCAAGTGAAAGGAAGAGTCCCACGTCTCTCACTTTAAATCAAAAGCTAGAAATGATTAAGCTTAGTAAGGCATGTCGAAAGCCAAGACAGGCCAAAAGCTAGGCCTCTTGTGCCAAACAGCCAAGCTGTGAATGCGAAGGAAAAGTTCTTGAAGCAAATTAAAAGTGCTACTCCAGTGAACACATGGATGATCAGAAAGCAAAACAGCCTTATTGCTGATACGGAGAAAGTTTCAGGGGTCTGGATAGAAGATTAAACCAGTCAGAACATTTCCTTAAGCCAAAACCTAATCCAGAGCAAGGCCCTAACTCTTCAATTCTGTGGAGGCTGAGAGAGGTAAGAAAGCTACAGAAGAAACGTTTGAAGCTAGCAGAGGTTGGTTCTGAGGTTTAAGGAATGAAACTGTCTCCATAACATAAAAGTGCGAGATGAAGCAGCAAGTGCTCATGTAGAAGCTGCAGCAAGTTATCCAGGGGCTGTAGCTAAAATATTTGATGAAGGTAGCTACACTAAACAACAGATTTTTTCAATGTATATGAAGCATTCTTATATCAGAAGAAGATGCCATCTAGGACTTTCATAGCTAGAGAGGAAAAGCCAATGCCTGGCTTCAAAGCTTCAAATGACAGGCTGACTCTCATTATGGGCTAATGCAGCTGGTAACTTTCAGTTGAAGCCAATTCTCATTGAGCATTCTGAAAATCCCAGGGCCCTTAAGAATTATGCTAAACCTACTCTGCCTGTGCTCTATGAATAGAACAGCAAACCCTGAGTGACAACTACCTATTTACAACATGGTTTACAGCCCACTGTTGAGACCTACTTCTCAGAAAAAAGATTCCTTTTAAAATATTACTGCTCCTTGACAATGCACTTGGCAAGGGGATTAATGTTGTTTTCATGCCTGCTAACACAACATCCATTCTGCAACCCCTGGATCAAGGAGTAATTTTGACTTTCAAGTCTTATTATTTAAGAAATACATTGTGTAAGGCTACAGCAGCCAAAGACAGTGATTCCTCTGATGGATCTGGGCAAAGTAAATTGAAAACCTTCTGGAAAGGATTCACCATTCTACATACCATTAAGAACATTCATGATTCATAGGAGGCGGTCAAAATATCAACATTAACAGGAGCTTGGAAGAAATCGACTGCAACCCTCACGGGTGACTGAGGGGTTCAAGACTTCAGCGGAGGAAGTAACTGCAGATGTGGTGGAAATCACAAGAGAACTAGAATTAGTATAGCCTGAAGATGTGATTTACTGCAATCTCATGATGAAACTTTAACGAATGAAGTGTTGCATCTTATGGATGAGTAAATAAAGTGGTTTCTTGAGATGGAATCTACTCCTGGTGAAGATGCTGTGAACATTGTTGAAATGACAAGATTTAGAATATTACTAAACTTAGTTGATAAAGTTTGAGAGGATTGATTCTAATTATGAAAGAAATTCTAACGTGGGTAAAATGCTATCAAATAGCATTGCGTGCTACAGAGAAATTTTTCATGAAAGGAAGAGTCAATCGATGCAGCAAACTTCATTGTTGTCTTAAATTGCCATAGCCACCCATAATCTTCAGCAACCATCACCCTGATCAGTCAGCAGCCATCAACATGGAGGCAAGACCCCCTCCACCAGCAAAAAGATTACAACTTGCTGAAGGCTCAGAAGACGGTTAGCATTTTTTAGCAATAAAGTTTTTTTTTAATTAAGATATACACATTGTTTTTTTAGACATAATGCTACTGAACACTTAATAGACTACAGTATAGTGTAAACATAAACTTTTATATGCACTGGGAAACCCCAAAATTTGTGACTTCCTTTTATTTCTATATTCACTTCATCACGGTGGTCTGGAACTGAACCCACAGTATCTCCATGGTATGCCTGTATTTTGTTAGGTGACCAGCTGCATTTAAATATAGTGAGATGTGTGTCTGTTTGGTCCTCACTGTTACAAATCTTACCATTTACTTTGTCCTGAAATATTGGCGTTGACAAACTCCTAGTGTTGAAATGTGTCTCTTAGCATACTCAATAGGGTCTTAATTTATCTGTCAAACAGTGCAAATGATTCCAGACACCCCCAGCCTTCTACAGATGAGGTTTGTTGGCTGAATCAGACACTTGCAAAAGCACCTTGAGATCTTTATACCCTTGACACCCTCATTACTGTTACTCCTCTAGATACACTGCTAAAGCTCAGTAAGTTTATCACTATTTATCCCACTCTCCTACTTAATGTCAAACTTGGGAAATCCATAAATCATCTTCATTCTATCAGAGCTCTTGAACTTACTGAATTTACAAAAGCTGTACTGTCATTAGGAACATTTCATTTTGTCCCTATTGCTACTGGCCCTAGATAGTGTTGCAAATTCCTTTGTCAAACACATTTAAATAACTATTATCTTATCATGGTTTTGGTCAATGTCATACATGAGAGGGAAAGCATCCCTTGTAGGGAGGGATGGGTTACAGACCTGCTATTAACCTTTTCCTTTCTAATAATCAACTCTAGAAAGAGGGCAGAGATTTTGTTTTATTCATTGCCTGACAATAAACAGGTGGTCAGCATGTATTTCTTAAATGAATAAAACTAGGATGTGGCTAATGTTTGGCATTAATGATCCCACTGATAACACTCTGAAATGCTAGTAGTACTTGGTAAGGACAGGAGTCACCAATTAAAAACCAGTCATGGGAAATATACATATAATCTAATAATTTGAGAATCATCTTAAACTAGTTTCAAATGCATTTTGGACAATGTTATGAATATTTTGTGTATGTATAATGTAACAGATGTTACTTTCTTTTGTGTGTGATTTAAAAAATTAATTACATTTTTTAATTGAAAATAACATTTATTACATTTTCTTATTACAAAAGCAATACATATTACTCATATTTTCGAGCACGGTTTTATTATATCCAGGAGATAGACTTTTCTCTGGAGAAATGCATCTCTTGATTTACACTTATAATAAAAATCAATGAGAAAAAAAGTATTCAAAAGAAGTCCACTGTGCCATAACATAGTTATTATCCTTCTAAAAAAGACAGATACCTATATTACGGAAATTTAAAGTAATACTATGGATATTAGACTTAAAACATCAATCTACCTAATTTCTACCAAACAATGACAACAAATTACATAACATTCTAATTAAATACATGCAAACATTAATATGGAAACTTAAAAATGCCTTTTATGGATGGAATAAATAACTAAATAAAAACATCTGATAATCAAGACAGTATATTTTGGTGCAGAAACCCGCACCACAAGAACAAAATCATTACAGTACAGCATGCTACAAGCAGCCAGATGAAAATCATCTGCTATAGAGCAGAGGCAGGAGCCTGTCTGAAGGTAGCTTTGTGTGTATAAAATAAGCTCCTAGCTGCTGGATGCTGAACCGCCTGCAGCCCAGCTCATCACATCCTGGGTAACAGAGCCCTGGATCGTCCACCGTGTAAAAGAACCATTTGAGAAAAGCTGCTTTTCATTACTTTTCTTGCTACTCACCCTCCTGCCCAGCAACTGGGCCTGTAAGAGGCGAAAAAAAAGATTTTGCTTTGGGGCTCCCACGTCCTCCTTCAGGAGTGAGTAGTGACACATTACAATCACATTTACACAGATGTATTGGTACATTTGACAATCACTGATCTAGGGAATTGTTATCTGGTTTTCCTTAAAGGGAAACCAAATGACTAATGCACTGAGGGCTAAGCTCTCCCCTATTCCCCGGTTTTACCCCAGAGGCTAGCTGACCACAACAGCGACAACTAGCTGGGAGGTAGGCATCAGACTGGCTGTTTTTGAATCCACAGCCACAGCCTTCTTAGAGATAGCATCAGTGACAGACCCTGCGGAAGGGCATGTCACCACTCACGTGTTCTGAAGCCAAAAGAAATCCCTGGTGAAGCTGAATCCCAAGGAACCTTCTTTACTTTTTCATGTGATATAAATGACACTCTACTTTTCTCTCCAGCCCTCATTCCCAACCACCTGGGAGAATCACATTAACCCTCTTCAGCTATGAGGCACACAACATCAGGTAGAAAATACAGTAGCTACCAAAGAGAACTTAGAAGATGGGTACCCATTTTGAGGAGTTTTGCAGTCACATCCGGCCTTCGAGGGGCCTGGAAGAGAAAAACTTCTCTAAATGGAAAGGCTGCTATTCCGACAGCTCTTCCATCACTGCAGAAGAGAAGTGTTAGGGAGGAGAATGTCTCAGATACCCTCCATTCATCTAGTGAAATCTGTCTCGTTTCCAATGTGGCAAAAGGTGACTGCTAACGTATGTACGTTGGACTCTAGCCTGTTTGCCTGGAATGGGTGCAGAGTAGAGACCAGCTCTTACTCCACAGAAAAGCTTTCTGGAGTTCAGCCCTCTCACTTGGAAACAACTGAATGTGAAGAGATGCATTTGCACTTTCGGCAAACAGCCACCAGGGAACACAGGCTATCACAGGGAGGATGAAAAATGCCTAAGGAGAGTAAGATTGGCCACCTTGGGCCAAACCCAACAAAGAGATAATAAAAACTAACTGGTTCAAGCTATTAAAGGTTTCGAGGTACAGGGAAGTTAAGTCTTTCAGTGTAACTGATATTCCCATTAGACACTGGGGGAAGAAATGTGGTGACGTTTTCCAGGCCTTGTTCTTGTGGCCCCAAACGTCCAATCCCCCATTAACTTCCTGTTCTAGCCCCTGTGGAGCTGGTGTCCCAAGCTTTTCAGTAGATCCCAGTTCCCCGGAGAGGTCCTGCCTCAGCCTCCATATCATCAGCAGTGCAGTGTGAGGGGTGCCGAGGCGGAGTGCCTCTGCATGGCCAGCTTAGCCTCTGCCTAGGAGCCAGAGAGGAAGAGAAACAAAGCCATTAGACCACCACCAGGTGATGAATAAAGACGAGTAGAGCAGAGCTCCTCCTTCACCCTCCCACCGCTCCCCCAACCCTACCTCCTCATACACTCATGGACACACTCCTGTGCTTGCACATGTACCTTTACTCTGGCAGTCAGACCAAACATAATGGCATAGCCATGGGCTCCTTTCCCAGAGAAGCCAACCTCGTGGTCATGCTGGACTAGGTGCTCCTTTCAGACCTGGACCACAAGCTACATACCCAGCATATGACACAGAAGCTGAAGGGATCCCTGTGGTAAGAGGAGAACACGTAGGGTACCTCAGCCAGAAGACCACGCCAAGGTGAGACTGCAGTCAGCAGCTACCTGGCTTCTGAGGAGGGTCCCTACCATTAGCTATCCCAGTCCTTTCTGAAATCAGTCATCAGAGCAGAAATCAACTTCTTCCCAGAAGCTGTGATTTAATGTTTTACTGTGTGGAAAATTCCTCCCCTCAGCGCAATGTTTCTCAAATGTTAAACGTGTACATGAATCACCTAGTGATCCTGTTAGAAATGAAGGTTCTGACTCAGCAGGTCTGGGACAGGGCCTGAGAGTCTGCATTTCTTACAGCTCCTGGTCCTTTTTACCTTAGCATAATGAGGAATACGGCATGAGAATGACAAAACTATTCCGCCTGTACTCCCTGTCCCAGAGGAAGTTAAAGGCCATTTTAACCATTGGCTGTCATCAAGTCACAAATCGGCAACCATCCGTTAAAAGGAACAGCCCACTGAATTCTAAATTATCTCCAAAGTTTTTCTTTACAGTAGATAATATGATTACATGGGAGTCATAGCACAGTATAGTTAAATAAAGTGTTCTTCTTCATTCTTGTATAAGCACCAACAGGTACACATAACAACCCCTACTGGGGTTCATGTGCCTTCTATAACGTTCTTCCCATCTTTCTCCAGAAGGTGGTGGAAGAGAGCCATGGCTACACCAAGGATCCCAATCACACTGGGAACTTGCTTTCGCTTGTCTGTGGCTCGACCACTGCGCAGCATGAGGCAAAGTTTCAGGGTGCGGGAGTGTTTGGGGGGCAACACAACCCAAAATACAAAACAAAAACCCAGAAGCCTTCTGATAGGTTCAAGTTACTCAGCAATTTTATTTACCCATTCTACACACAGAGAGAGAAAAACACATTTCAAGTACAGTTATATACACCTTACGTGGATCTGGGTGGCATGTCATGATATCAATGCCACTGGATTAAATCAGAATGCTGTCAAAGACTTACATTCCTTCTTTGGACAGAGCCGTGCCTAGGAAATTTACAGCAGACCTCTATTTCTTGGCTTCCCAACCCAGTCCATTCCCACTCAACCTACTGGCACTCAGTCCTACTTCCTCACCCCTCCAAAGGGTACAGCTTGTGAGCAATCTTGCTTTTGCCATAGTAAAACCATCACCATATCAGAATGAGTTGATCTTGTTACTTCAACACAATAGAAAATGTACACAAGCAATTCCGATACAAAAACACTGAGTAGGTAAATACTGGTCACAGACCTCCAATAAAAAGGCTATTGGGAAGAATGCTTTTACCAACTCTTAAAATCAATTTTTGAATACAAAATTTCCTTTGCATTTTATTTTATTAGATCAGGAGTAAAAGCCAAATGCATGGCAGACTAAAAATAGCAATATTATCCAATGGGATGCTCCATTCCATAACAGGGAAAGCCGAAGGACATAAAAGGTTTCAGAAATGAAGGGTGAAAGTGAAGTCCTGCCTAGAAGCGGGGGACTGGATGAGATGGCTTCAAATAGGGGTAACAATTTCAGACTTTGAACAGGCATCCCCTCAGCTGAGTTCACAAAATACCGCACAAGTAAAGTACAGCCTTCATCTCTTACAAAGATGAGAATTTGGCCCACTACTCTAAAAGAAATGTCTATTAAAAATCATAGTGCTTTTTACTGAAACAAATGTCTACTAAAAATCCATAGTGTTTGCTTCCCTCTAAAGCAAACATGTGGAGTGTTTGGTTCCTTTCTTTGTAGGACATGGGCTATAGACAGAGAATTACAACAATATGCATACACTACCAACCCGTACAATCAGAAAACAGGCAGACTGTCAGCAAACAGGCACTACAAGAGTCAGTCAGCACACAGATCCTTCTAGACTGTCAGTCAGTCAACACAGAAATCTTACTAGAGTCTGTCAGTCAGTCAGCACACAGACTTTACTAGACTATCAGTCCATCAGCATACAGACACTATTAGAGCATCAGTCAGTTAGCTAACTGACTATTAAGCATACAGATACTACTTGAGACAGTCTTTTGGACACTATGAGTCTAAATTAAATCCCTGGACACACTTCTGGTATCTGTGTCATCCCTAGGGGAAGTTGGGAGATCTATCCCACCAATGTTGCAACCTGGCTTAATTGTTATATATTTAAAAAAAAAATAAAAATTTTTTTTTTCAAACACAAGTCAAAACGCATACTGGACAATCCGGGCAGAGTTACCAAATTTCTTCACAATAAACACAGCATGGCTTCTGGGCTTGGCAGAAGACGATGGAATAAGACTATATAACCCCAAAACAGTTCTCAATTATGAGACACGTTTTTCCTTATTGTTTCGTTACCCCAAGCACCAATGACTTTCTCTAGAATTCAAATCTCCTGCTCACAGAAAAACCAGAAGACATATTCCTAAACAGCTATATCATACGGTTCTTCGAAATGCCAGGGCACTGAAGATCAAATGTGGGTTGCAAAGAGAGATACCCAGAACTCTACGTGAAAAATTCAGCCATTCGGACTAAGAGTACAACTATATTGTATCCCTAACTTTTTACAAAACAAATCCAAAGACAATGATACAGGGCAGACCCCTAGCACAACGTATGTTTTTAAAAGTTTTCCACATGCTGCTTTCCAGCTTAATGTAAAACCATCCCTCTACCAAAACAAAACACAATACAGTTAATAGGTAAGAGCTAAATTCCAATCAGGGGGTTAGGAGATAGGAAAGGAAATGAGCTCTCTAACTCCCTCTTTAGAATTCCTCATTCAGCTTTGAAGCAAGGAAAAGGAAAGAGAATAGTGATTTTCCTTCCCCATTTTATACTAGTGGATTAAACAACATCCTCACCTATTTCTCCTATGATAAAACTTAAAGCCTCACCAAAGGGTTCTCTGCAGTCCACCCTTCCTTTGTAGGACTGTGATATAGACACAATCATAGTCATGTGAGTATGCTACCAATCGGTTCAAGGAAGACAAACAGGAGAGGACAGGAAAGAAAAGATGGGAAAGAAGACTTCTCTAGGATTTGGTGAATGGGAATTCCAGAATACTTAACTGTGCTCATGAGGAACCTATACATAGATCAAGAGGTAGTCGTTCAAACAGAACAAGGGGATACCTCGCGGTTTAAAGTCAGGAAAGGTGTGCATAAGGGTTGTATCCTTTCACCGTACTTATTCAATCTGTATGCTGAGTAAATAATCTGAAAAGCTGAACTATATGAAGAAGAACAGGGCATCAGGATTGGAGGAAGACTCATTAACAACCTGTGTTATGCAGATGACACAATCTTGCCTCCTGAAAATGAAGAGGACTTGAAGCACATACTGATGAAGATCCTTCAGTATGGATTATACCTCAACTTAAAAATTCTCACAACTGGACCAATAAGCAACATCACGATAGACAGAGAAAAGACTGAAGTTGTTAACAATTTCATTTTACCAGGATCCACAATTAACACCCATGGAAGCAGCAGTCAAGAAATCAAATGATGCTTTGCATGGGGCAAATCTGCTGCAAAAGACTTCTTTAAAGTGTTAAAAAGCAAAGATGTCACCTTGAAGACTAAGGTGTGCCTGACCCAAGCCAGGGTGTTTTCAATCGCCTCATAGGCATGTGAAAGCTGAACAATGAATAAGGAAGACCGAAGAACTGACACCTTTGAATTACGGTGTTGGTGAAGAATATTGAATATACCATGGACTGCCAAAAGAATGAACAAATCTGTCTTGGAAGAAGTACAGCCAGAATGCTCCTTAGAAGTGAGGATGGTGAGACTACATCTCACATACTTTGGACATGTTATCAGCAAGAATCAGTCCCTGAAGGACATCATGATTGGTAAACTAGAAGGTCATCGAAAAAGAGGAAGACCCTCAATGAGATGGATTGGCACATTGGCTGCAACAATGGGCTCAAGCATAACGATTTTGAGGATGGTGCAGGACCGGGCAATGTTTCACTCTGTTGTACCTAGGGTTGCTATAAGCTGGAACTGACTCCACAGCACCTAACAACAACAACTAGGATCTGGAGTAAAAACTCTACTCAATTCTATAATCTCCTTGCTTCTTTCTGCTGAAACTTCTCTGAAGGGATCTTACTCTAAAAACTGAAGGATGCTGAAACTCTTGCTGTTGTCAAGTTCCAATTTCTCGAGGCCAGTGGTGCAACGGTTAAGCACTCGGCTGCTAACTGAAAGGCTGGTGGTTCAAATCCACCCAGCAGCTCTACAGGAGAACAACCTGGCGATCTGTAAAGATAACAGCTGAGAAAACCCTATGGGGCAGTTCTACTTTGTCACATGGGGTTGCTGTGGGTCAGAATCAACTCACCGGCATCCAACACCAACATCCATAGCATCTGAGAATAATAAAACGACCTCAGGTGCCCTTTTGGGGGATGCAAACTAGTACAGGGGAAGCATGGAGAAGTAATCATCAGGCTGAAAGCCAACATCAACATCCCAATGAGCGGCCTTCAATGCCAGGGTTTATAACAAGGTAACACAATGCTACTGTTTGAAAATTCTCCTCACTAAGAGTAGGCACAGCCCAAATCCGGAGTCTTTGGATCAAAGTACTCCCTCTTCTCTTTAACTCTCAAATCCTCTCATCTCACAGCAGGAGACAGGACTATACCTACCTCCTGGGCTAAAGATGTCACCAGCCGAGCAAAGCTAGTCAAGGTAACCTTAAATGAAAAGTGCCACATATATCTCCTATCCCACACATCTCATTCTGGCATAGGATCCCATCTGTCCCATTGCCATCTCCCAACTCTTGTAGTCTCAGTCACAGGACATGAGAAAAGTCAGAAGAAGCAATCTGTACTCCCGCTCCAACGTCAGCACTTACAGGCTCAACGTGCTGCTCTTCTGCAAATGTTCATTTTTATATAAATTATATGCCCTGTCGCTAAAATATCCTCCCAGAGGAAAAGAAGCTTTTCTTCTACTCCTTTGTATCCTTCCCCATCAGCACCCTCACCCAACTCTAAGCCCCACAAACACAGACACTAAGTACATCATTTATAATGGCTAAACAGAAACACCAGGTTACTTTAAGTCTTGGACACAATTTCAAGTAGAATCTAGGTAAGCAACCTTTGGAAACTGGTTGTGGTGTCCTACTCAGTGTGTAAGAGTAAAGGACTCAAGGTCAGAAGCCAGCTGCCCGAGAAGAAGACCTTTCTCATCCTACAGGTGTCACCCCAGTACCTCTCCCCAGGCTGCTTAAAACCCCCAGCTATTATCCAAGAACGTTTATTTAATTTAGTGATTTATTCCACGTCACATTGCAACATAAGGGTTAAAGATGAAACGAGAACCTAGCATATCCCTCTAAAACACAGCAGTCTGCCTTCTAAGGAGTTATTTCATTTAATATTGGGCTTTGTCCAAACATCTAATTCCAGACAGCTGTCCTTTCAGAACCTCAAAGAATTCAGAATTCCTAGGTTGACGCCTTGTCCGACAACTACAATCCCAGTACTGCTGCACACACCTTCATCAAGTGGAGTTCTTAACCTCGGGTATGAGTCGGAATCATCAGGGAAGCTACTTACACACATGTCCAGACCACACTATTCGAGATTCTGAGTTAGTGCTACGCCTGTTTCCAAACTTCTAAAGCAGATTCTAACAAATACTCCCAGATGAGAACCGCTACAGAAGGTCCTCTATTACCAAACAAAAAACAAAACAAAACCAAGTGACATTTAGAAAAACAGTTCACTTGCTCTTTCCGCTTACCTCTAAAAAATAAATTCTTAACTTCAGTGTAGGGGAATCACCCACCTCTTTTAAAAAATCCCACGAGAAATCTAGAATTGCTCCCCAGAAAAATCACACGTATTCATATATTTTGCATACGAAGTAGTGGGGGAGGGTTTGAGCCAGCGCAGACCACCCAGGGGTTAAGGATCCCTGCTCTGTGTATTTCCTGTTTAACCCCACAAAGAAAATAAAATGATTGAAGTGAATACATAAGAGCTAAGAGGGGGAAATAAATACAAACAGTCAAAAGCTAGATCCCAAAGGGTCCCAAGGATTCTTCCGGACTTCAAGATGGGGTAGTTTTTCCTAATGAACAAAGGAATACCCCCATGAGAGAGACTGCTCATGCAAATTTTTTCTTTTTTTACTTTACTTAAGAAGGAGAGTATGCTGAAAATTACTAGGAAATAATAAACAGCTTTAATGAACTCTTCTCTGCCTTTTGCCTCAAGTAATTCAAACATCAGCAGTGACTCCTGAATCTAACTCTATCCTTCTAACAGCCCAGAGGTCACTGGCTTTGGCAGGAAAGCTGCTATGGTTTGTAAAGAACCTGGAAGTCACTGGAGAAAAGACTGGATTGCCCTAGAAGAGCCCTGCAAGAGTGAGAGGGACCACCGTACTCGCCTAACCCCACTCCACAGCAACCAAGAGACCTTATATCAGGCTCTTCAAGTTAAAAATACAAACCAAGATACTTCCCACACACTCAGAGCCAGCTTCGCCCAGGAAGAGAAGACTTAGAGGACTGTTTCTCATGAAAGGAGGCAAGAACTCTGACCCTATGTCCACTTGCATGCTCCAGAGCATTCTGTGGATGTTCTGTAGCCTGGGATGACCCCTGCAGGAGAGGAAGAAGGGAATGAAAAGGCTCCCCCAGTGCACTGCAGACAGCACTCTTCGAGCCTCAACTTCTCTTGTTTACCGCCCTTCCTTCCTAGACAGACACCACAATGTCATGCATGACACTGGATAATCCAAAGGGCAGATGAGCAAGGGGGAAGAAAGCAGGCAAGTAAGGACAGAGTAAAACACTCATTCAAAAGACAAACAGAAGTGAAGGAACTCCCACGTCACCAACACAAGGAATCAGTGAGTTTAGACACCAGGGAATGGAAGAAGAACCAGGTGTATGGGGCATGCTTAGCCTCAGCCCCGGCTGTGCCAATCACCCAGGAGTGTGTCCCTTCCCCTCCTCCGCCAGGCCACCCCATCTGAGGACCTGTCCTAAAAGACCCAACTTGCCTCCAGGTGGGGAGATGTTTCAAACTGGAGAATTCTACAGTTGGTCTGAAAACACACGGCCTCATGTTCTGTGCTAAGATTAACGACCGAGTAGGGGTGGGGAGTTGGAAGTTAAATGACTCCTTGGTGATTAGTGAGGAGGGCAGGAGGCCAAGGCTGGAGGGAAACACATGGTTACACCACCGGAATGCTGACTTGGGTCTTCGGCTGGTCGGCCCCTTCTTGCATGTCCAGGGCACGGAGAGGGCTGAGGGGCTTGAGGGGCTGGCTCCCAACACTGTAATTTCTCGGGCGCCTTACTGTATCCGAACTGGACAGAGGCGTAAAGCTGTTCCTTCTCATCCTTATAGGGGTTTGGTTCTTGGGGAAGTTGTTCTGATTGGAAACGGAGGGACACCACACAAATGAAAGCCAAGCCAAAAGCTCACTCATAAAGCTTAAATAATGCTTGTGACCACAACCGCATCCGTCACTCCTGCTCCTCTACAAACAGGGTCCCCCGTAAGACACAGGACATGTCTCCTAGCCCCAGGAAGCTAAAAGGGTTGTAGAGGGAGAAGCTCGTTGAGCATCAGACTCCAAAGCAGAAAACAGACCCAAAGTAAGGAAGGGCTTACTTAAGATCACACAGACCACCAGGGGTACACCTAGAAGCAAACTGAAATCTCTCGACCCCACCTTACAGCCTCCTCAGGACCCAACTTTCTAACAGGAGAGCTTCCGGGGGAGGGAGGGATCTGCATTTCATTTCAGTCAAACACTTTCCGTATTTAACTGGAATTCCAGGAGCCAACTTTCAAAGTTAAGACTCATGAAAGAGGAACTAACTAAAAATAATAATTCCAATATCTCTTCCTCTTGGAAGCAAGCAGACTACATAGGACATTTGTTCTGGATCTGTTTTCCTTTCGTACATAAAAGAACTCCCAGTCTCTTGATGCAAAAGTTCAAAGACTCAAGGTGGCAGGGAACCTGGCGTGTTCACCATGGGAACATACTTACAGTTGGCTTGTCGCGGTGAGTGTTCACAGCCTCCACATGAAGTTTAACTGTTTCCACTTTGCACCCTGAGGAAACAGAGAAAAGAGAAGGGTCCTTATAGAAAAAAGCTCAAAGAAATATTCTTTAGTTTCAGTATGGGAAAACATACCTAAAGGTACACAGTATTCCCAAGTACATACATACATACGTACATACGTCCCTTTAAAAATGGAAGACAACTGACAACAACTTTCCTAGCATACAGAGGTGATAAAGCTAAATTTCTAGCCAAACTTCAGAGAAAATTCAAATATCCTGCCCTTCCTCAATTCCCACCTCCTGCCCAGGTCCTCATAGTTACCATAGGCCACTGGAGTAAGTTTGAAGATGGTATGGAGAGGGCACCTCAAGTATGGTAGCTCATCTGAAAGCAGAAAAGAGCAGGTGAGGAAAGTCTCTCAGTGTCATGGAGTAAGGTCAAGTTAGCGGGACAGAGCATCTAAGGGGCTCAGAATGAGTTTTCTTTACCACCATCTAGAGTTGTACAACTCACCCCCCTCCCTTTCAAACCCCAGACAACTATCAAGAAGGCCACCAAAGAAGCCACCCAAGCTACTGTGTGGTTAAAGAAGGAAATAAGTCAATTTTATTTTAGATCCTTCCATGCAGGAAAAATAGGAGTTAATGCTACAGCCAGGGTCCCATGGAAAGGAAGACTGTGGCCCACCTGAGTACAACAGAGGCCAATCTGCTGGCTTCCCAGCAGCTCAGGTAGATCAGGAGGGGCAGGAAGTATGAGAAGGCAGCAGCACTTCTTACTTCTCCACCCAGAAACAACTGCCCTACGCTGAATTCAAAGAATGCAGGTGCTTCTAAATTATCCCTTCCTCTTGGCCAAAGCTGCCAGGAGCATCACCTCAGCGCCAGTCCTTTAGCCAAGCAGGATGGAGGCGCTCCAGCAGCAGCCCCACGCCATTGCTGGCTTTTGCACCAGCAGACTACATTCAGCAAGTAGTTGACTCAGTGGCTGCTGGGAGTCCCACACTGCTGCCTGAAGAATGCACTCCAATTTGAGCAGAAGAGGGGAAGATCTCGTTGCCAGGGATCCCGGTACCACCCCAAGCCCTATCCTCTCTCCATGGATGTGTCTCCAGGCCCTTCCCTCAAATGGCACCTGCACTCTTATCCAAGAAGTAGGCCAGGAGGCAGCGCATGACAGCTTGGTGGGAGATAACAAGGACATTGCCCTGACGCTCCAGCTCCATGATGACAGGCTCCAGCCGCTGCACCAGGTCCTGGTACGACTGTGGGGAAAGTGGGTAAGTTTGGGAGGAGGCCAGGCACAAGCTGGCAGCATGTCAGTGGCTGGGTCCCAGAGTAAAGAGGTGACTTCTCCCTCTCCCCAGCTGGCTTTCCTCCTGGAGGCTCAGCAAGTTCGTGTCACCTGCTAACTCCCCCTGAGCCTGACAGCTCTTGAGAATACTCAGACCTTTCAAAAGCAAGATTCCAACCAAGAAAACTACTGGTCAGACTTTCCAGAGCCATTGAGGCTGGATGAACCCCCTGAAACTACTGCCCTGAGATTATCTTTAAACCTTAATCCGAAACTAACCCCTGAAGTCGTCTTTGAACCAAACAGTAGTTTAGCTTAATTAGTAAAATATGTCTGCCTTCAGCATCGTGCTCTTTTAAAGAATTATCTATGTGGGATCAAATTGGCAACAGCAACTCAAAAAGGATAATGAAAGTGGTTGCACAACTTGAAGAATGTAATCAATATCACTGAATTATACATGTCCAAATTGCTGAAATGATGTATCTTCTGCAGTGTATATTTTCAACAAAATAAATACATATATACATACATACATAAGACATGCATGAGCAAAAAAAAAAAAAAAAACAAAAACAGGAAGAGGAAGTCTGAACTCAACCTTTTTCAGTTTTTTCCTTCCATAGATTAATAGGCAGCGTGAAAGGCAGTAAGAAGTTCCCAGTGTTTCCCTGTTTTACACCTTTGCCTTGCACATCCCCAGAGTATGAAGCCACTTAGACCAGGAAATAGCCTAACCCACTGAAGATGATAAGGAAAGAATTCGTATCTTCTACCTTTACTCAGTGACTATACCTGCCAGGTGGGCGTGGGATGGAGGGAACGGAATGTAAGAAGAAACACTGTGTTGATTTCTGGTTGGGGTGACAAAAATGCTTGGGAAACAGTGGTGCTGGTTGCACAACACTGTGGATGTAATTAATGCGTGGATGTAATTAATGCCACTGAATTGTGCACTTAAAATGGTTAAAATGGCAAATTTTCTGTTGTTTATATATACATATTAAAATATATTAAAACTTAAATGTGATAATTTAAAAAAATCATGTTGTTTCTTCCACATCTTAACACACAGAACATCTTCATTGAAACTTGTCACTCATTTCCCTGGAGATCTTAACAAATTAACAAGGCATTTGACTGCCTAAGCTGAATTAAACACAGTATGACCCAAAGGCGAAAGGATAAACCAAATGGCCCCTAAACCACCCTTTCTGGGACCCCAAAATCACATTCAATCCTCCCCATATTAAAGTCAAATCCTCAGCAAAAGGTGGGGCGATCGCACCGCGTGGGGGCCTCACCTCCCCACCGGGGTACCGGTACAGGTATTTCTCCTGATCTCGAAGAGCGAATTCTTCTGGGTACTGCTTCTCAATCTCTGCATAGGTCATCTCCTCACACACGCCCTGCAAGGAGCCACAAGGGTGTGAAGAGGTAGACAGACCAACACCAGCCCCATCCCACACAAGGACGGCACTGAAGAATGCTGGTTTCTTACTACGTGCCAGGCACTGTGCTGGGTCCTTTCACACATCGCCACTGACTGGCCAGGAGGGTGTCTGGGACTCACAGGGCGAGGGCGCCACAGAGAGCAGGTGGCTTCTCTGGCTTAAGCAGCCACTATCTCCTACTACTGTGGGAACTTACAGGTCACGAAAAATCAGCAGGATCAAAAGAAGCAGAAGTGGGGAAGGAGGGGGAGCTGAGGGTACTGGAGACTTTTTGTAGGAGGGGAAAATAAAAGAGTACAAAGGAAGAAAAGAGATGTCTTCTTTTGTCTTTAGGGACAGAGAAAGTCAAGACAAAGTTTGGAGAGGACTTTTGCAGAATAGCTGATCAAGAGCTCTAAGCAGAAATTAAAGACATGAGTTGTTAGCTATTTCTGTTTCCCAGGAAAAAATATACAAAGGAGTAGAGTAAGTCCTTGGTAGTCCCACTCTACTTAGGTGCCAGAGTGATCAGGTGAAAGCTAGTTTAGGCGCCATCATTGGCACAGCTGCTAGAAGCATACAGGAAGCCCCAATTATGAGTGCAATTACCCCCACTTCCCTCCCCCAATGCCTGAACTGACCCTAGATTCAAATTTTCAACTAGGTGGTTCTAACTTTCTAGCTGAAACTGCCCAGATGGTGTCTTCTGAGAGTTCTTGCCTGGATAGGAGACTCTTTTTGGCTTTTTAGCTCTTGGAGCTTCCTACTCACAGCATCGATCTCGTTCAGAATCTTCCACTGCTCATAGGTCACCCCCAGGGATTCAGCAGTCTGGATTGTCCTCTTCAACTGGCTTGTCCACACTTTGAGGTCCACTATCTCCTGTTCCTCAAGAAACTTCCTTAGAGCCTGGGCAAACTGGGGTTTGAAAATAGAAATTTTAAAAAGAAAGAAAACACACACACATACACACAACTTCTAACTCTGCTCATAAAGGACAATATGTATGGCCACGGTCAAAACCTGTAAGGTGCTGCAGTTATTATAAACCCAAGAGGGAATGAACTTCAACTGGAGCATCCCGTGCTGTGCTAGCGGCATGAAGTGTGCCCAATAAATATCTGATGGCTGAATGATCACAGCAGAAACGGTTCCAATTTACCCAGATTTCAATACAGAGCATGGAAACATCTTCAGCATTTGCTTCAATATCTGAACCCACAGCCTAAGCCCAAATGGGATTTAAGAAGCAGCATGGGGCTGAAGGAGATGACCTCAGGCATGACCTTCTTTCTAGCCCTAAGCCTAGGAAATCCAGCCTGCCAGGTAACTACTCACCTGCTTCCCGCGCACTGAGAGGCCAGAGTCACCCCCAATCTTCCCCAAGAGATTGAACTCGCTCTCCCCATGCCGGCAAAGGTAAATGGTGCGAGGCTGGACATGGATATTCATGAGGTAGTAGACTATCTTGCTCTGGATGTAGTCTTGGACTCGGTTCACTAAAAATCGCTGGCCCACGTTTATCACCTTGATGAAAGAAAGATCCCTGGGAAGAGCAGGGGGAAATAACCCTAGGTATGAAAATCTGAGGATCACAGTTGTTGTGGTTAGTTGTCGTCAAGTCGACTCTGACTCATGGCGACCCCATGTGTGCTCCACAGGGTTTTCAAGGCTGTGACCTTTCAGAGATAGATGGCCAGGCCTGTCTTCCCAGGCATCTCTAGTCGGGTTCAAACCACCAACCTTTCGGCTAGTAGTTGAGTGCTTATAACCATTTGTGCCACCCAACGGTTCCTCAGTTCCTACTCCACTATTGCCTAACTGTGTGAGAATAACAGCAAGAGGGGAAAGGATTTCCACAGTTACTTACAGGCTCACAGCAGTTCTGCTTCCTCTCCTTTGTCATACTCCACCCACATTTATGAAGCCAAAATGTTAGAAATGGATTACTCCTCAAGACTTAGATTAAGTCAAGTTTCCTCGACTTCTAGTAAGTCAGGACGGTATAACCAGTGTCAATACTGTGCCACGCAATGTAGATAAATATGATAAACAGAATTCAGGTTTCCTGTCAGGGGCTAGACAAGATTTGGCCTGAAGATTTTGCTAACCCTGAAATTTGTTGAAATGCACCAACTCCCCTCTGAGGTGGTCAAGATCTGGCCAAAATATGGTACCACCAGCAATGAGGTGAGGGGAGGAGATGCCAGAGCTACTGACAGATCTCTATGCATCTACCCAATCAAGTCTTTCTCAAAGGTACTTCCACAGACCATACACTTTGTGGCCATCATTTAATTGTTCTCATAAAAGCAGCAAGTGCTTACTAACACGAAGATTCAGAAAAAAACAAAACAAAGGTAGAATGACACAAACAACCCTACGACCAGAGATAGCATCTATAAATACTTTTGATACATATAAATATTGCTCTAATGTTTTTCTAGGTAGGACTTCGGGCTCAATGAAGTATATACTATTGTGCCATATTAGGGCAGCAGTTTTCAACGTCTGTATTAACAGAACACTTCCAAATGCTAAAATACTGGGCAATCCAACTGAAGGACCTAAAAGGCTCAAACCATAGCAGCTGTTGAACAGAGTGTCATGCCCACTTGTCTTGCCATTTGCCTGTCCTGCAGGGCTGTACCCGTATTTGAATAGAGCTGTTAACTGCCCTGTGCTCTTTCACAAGGCCACATTCTCGCATGTTTCCAAGCACATATCATGTTTCTTTGGCATGGCCTTGATGTTTCACTGTGGCTCTTACACCTCACACACACAAGTTCATCTGTACAGGCATACCTCGGAGATATTGCTGGTTCGGTTCCAGACCACTGTAATGAAGTGAATACTGCAATGTAGCAAGTCACACGAATTTTTTGGTTTCCCAGTGTGTATGAAAGTTATGTTTACACTATAGTTTATTAAGTGTGCAACAGCATCATGTCTAAAAAAAACCAATGTATGTACCTTAATTAAAAAAATACTTTATTGCTAAAAAATGCTAACCATCATCTGAGCCTTCAGTGAGTTGTAATCTTTTTGCTGGGGGAGGGTCTAGCCTCCATGTTGATGGCTGCTGACTGATCAGGGTGGTGGTTGCTGAAGGTTGGGGTGGCTGTGTCAATTTCTTAAAATAAGACAACAATGAAGTTTATCACATTGATTGACTCTTCCTTTCACGAAAAAGCTCTCTGTAGCATGCGATGCTGTCTAATAGCATTTTACCCACAATGGACCTTCTTTCAAAATTAGAGTCAAGAAAATCCTCTCAAACCCTGCCACTGCTCTATCAAGTAAGTTTATGTAATATTCTAAATCCTTTGTTGTCATTTCAACAATGTTCACAGCATCTTCACCAGGAGTACATTCCATCTCAAAAACCACTCTTTGCTCATCCATAAGATGGAACGCTTCATTCGTTCAAGTTTTATCACGAGATTGCAGCAATTCAATTACATCTTCAGGCTATACTAATTCTAGTTCTCTTGCTATTTCCACGGCATCTGCAGTTACTTCCTCCACTGAAGTCTTAAATCCCTCAGTTATCCATGAAGGTTACAGTTGATTTCTTCCAAACTCCTGTTAATGTTGATATTTTGACCCCCTCCCATGAATCACGAATGTTCTTAATGGCATCTAGAATGGTGAATCCTTTCCAGAAGGTCTTCAATTTACTCTGCCCAGATCCATCACAGGAATCACTGTCTATGGCTGCTGTAGCCTTACAAAACGTATTTCTTAAATAATAAGACTTGAAAGTAAGAATTACTCCTTGATCAATGGGCCGCAGAATGGATGTTGTGTTAGCAGGCATGAAAGCATCATTAATCTCCTTGCACATCTCCATCAGAGCTCTTGGGTGACCAGGTAAATTTTCAATAAGCAGTAATATTTTAAAATGAATCATTTTTTTCTGAGCAGTAGGTCTCAATAGTAGGCTTGAAATATTCAGTAAACTATGTTGTAAACAGATGTGTTGTCATTCGGGCTTTGTTGTTCCATTTACAGAGCACAGGCAGAGTAGATTTAGTAGATTCTTAAGGGTCCCAGGATTTTCAGAATGGTAAACGAACACTGGCTTCAACTTAAAGTCACCGGCTGCATTAGCCCCTAACAAGAGAGTCAGCCTGTCCTGTGAAGCTTTGAAGTCAGGCATTGACTTCTCTCTAGCTATGAAAGTCCTAGATGGCATCTTCTTCCAATATAAGGCTGTTTCACCTACACTGAAAATCTGTTGTTTAGTGTAGCCACCTTCGTCAATTATCTTAGCTAGATCTTCTAGAGAACTTGCTGCAGCTTCTACTTCAGCACTTCCCCTTGCACTTTTACGTTGTGGAGACGGCTTCTTTCCTTAAACCTCACGAACAAGCCTCTACTAGCTTCAAACTTCTCTTCTGTAGGCTCCTCACCTCTCTTAGCCTTCACAGAAATGAAGAGAGTTAGGGTCTTGCTTTAGATTAGGCTTTGGCTTAAGGGAATGTTGTGGCTGGTTTGATTTTCTATCCAGATCACTGAAACTTTCTCCATATCAGCAATAAGGCTGTTTTGCTTTCTGATCATTCATGTGTTCACTGGAGTAGCACTTTAAATTTCTTTCAAGAACTTTTCCTTTGTATTCCCAACTTGGCTAACCATTTGGAGCAAGAGGCCTAACTTTTGGCCTGTCTCGGCTTTCAGCATGCCTTCCTCACTAAGCTTAATCATCTCTAGCTTTTGATTTAAAGTGAGAGACATGAGACTCTTCCTCTCACTCACTGGAACACTTAGAGAGGCCATTGTAAGGTTATTAATTGGCCTAATTTCAATATTGTTGTGTCTCAGGGAATAGGGAGGCCCAAGGAGAGGGAAAGAGACGGGGAAACGGCTGGTCAGTGGAGCAGTCAGAACACACACATTTATTAAGTTCGCCGTGGCGTTGCAAAACAATTACAGTAGTAACATCAAAGATCACTGATCTCAGGTCACTGTAACAGATTTAATAATGAAAAAGTTTGAAATATTGTGAGAATTACCAAAATGTGACACCGAGACATGACGTGAGCACATGCTGTTGGAAAAATGGCACCAATAGACTTGCTTGCCACAAACCTTCGATCTGTAAAAATCACAGTATCCGTGAAGTGCAATAAAGTGAAGCGCAATAAAACGGGGGTATGCCTGTATTGTATACCGCACTGCTGAGAGACACTGCCATAGTAATGATGGACAGCAGTTATTAGACACGTCTCTAAGCCCGGTATGTTCTTAAGGACTTTACATGCAATATATATATACTATATGTAATATATATAATGTTATATATTATATATGTTTCATATGTGCCTGTACATTTTATGTGTGTTTGTGTGTATATATACAGTAAACTTTAAATATCAACCAAAAAGTAGCGACATATCTCTGAAGGGTGTCCTGCGACACCTCAGTTCAGAACTACTGAGCTAGAGTAGTGGTTCTCAGTGGGTGGTAATTTTGCCCCCCAAAGGCACATTTGGCAATGTCTGGAGACGTTTTTGGTTGTCACAACTGGGGGTGTGACTGGCCTCTAGAGGGCAGAAGTCAGAGATGCTGCTAAACATTCTACTATAATGCACAGGATAGACAGCCCCTCACAAGAAGGAACTATCCTTGTTCAAAATGTCAACACTACTGTGGTGAAAAATCTTGCTCCAGAGGAGAAAGAGGATAAAAAATCATTTAAAACAAAAATTTCAAAGTTAAGTATAATATGCAACCCACATAAAAGCCACAAGATCCACACCTTTCTTCTCTTAATGTTTTATACATTATTGGCCCAGATTGTCAGAGGAAGTTTGGGGACAGAGGGAGAAAGTTCTTTTCCCAGATGAGATCCCTTCAAACCTTACTTGTCATAGTTGTCTGGGTCCAAGGGCTGATAGGTGACTTTGTAGCACTCAATTCTTTTCAGGAAGTCCTCCATTACGTTCTCTCTGTTCCTTTCAGGATAGTCAGGGCTCGACACCTTTACCTCCTAAAATCATGAGAATAGCAAGGGTCTAGTCAGAGGTCTGATCTTAACAGCCCTCTTGCAAATAGCCACTGCTAAGAAAAAGAAAAAAAGAAGTCCATAAAAGTGGCTTTTTACTGGCGTGCTGGCAATTCCCATTCATCGAGCACCCCTCCCCTGTCCTGTGACCCTGGCAACCACGACAAGAAAGACAACTGGTGAGTCACGTGCCTGCCCTTGGCTGGAGGGCACAGACAGTCATGGCTGAAGCTGCTCCTGGGCCCCAGCCCCTTTATGTACCTTCCTGGGAACAGAATGGGATTTGATTTTCCCCCATTACCACTCAGAATAGGGTGCTTGACCTTATATATACCTGACTTGGACCAGATGCCTCTTTCCTAGATGAATCCAAGTTCCTGAGTTGCTGGGAAATTACCTCCACGATACCATGCACAGATGTCTCCTCAGCACAGCACAGCCCATCAAATGGGAACTGTCTTATCCCATGACCTCACAGGACATGAGGAGCTCAAATGCAGAGAGCAATGGTCTGAACACTAGACAACTGCTAGACAGATGGCTGTCCCATAAGGCAGCCCTGACAGATAAAAAAGACCCTGATCTATCCTAAGCACATGCCTCACCATCCCAGAACACAAGGCCAGGACTCCTATAGTCTAAGTCTTGCTTTCCATTCCACAGCTAATTCATTCTTTAAAGCCTCAGTTTCCTCTCCCAAGGGACGAGTGTGGAAGCGCAAAATGGTGCTCTGGCAGATAGAAAGGATCACTCTATAGTGTCAGACATGTCTATTTCTTTCTTTCATTACCCAGTTGCCCTCCCCACCACCCACCACACACACACACACACACACACACACACACACACACACACACAGGGCACAAAGGAGGAAGAGGAGGTGGTATGCCGGGTGTCACCCACCAGGATGTTGGCAGCAATGACATCAGGGTCATCACAGACAGATTCCACAAAGAATACCTGGCCAGGAGAAAAGGCAGTGATAAACAAGTCACAAATTAACAGGTCAGGCTGTTAATTAAACGCACATGTTCACACCTACCCCACCCCAGCTACCACATCTCCCGTGATTTTCTTCATGGAAGTGGCCTTCAAGGTCTACTCATTTAAAAATGGCTCTTACCACACCCCCAGGGCCTAAGGGTCTGAGAAAGGACCTGAAAGAAAACACTCAAGGATTGGGGTATGCCCCAAGAGAAGATAATCAGATATCCAATCCTATCCTTATCCACAAGAGTCAAACAGATCCATCCCTCTCCCATCGTCACTCCTCACCTAAACTCATCCCTTCTCTCCCAGCATGGGAGTCAGATCCTACCTTGAAGGAATTTTCCTTTGCAAAGTTCAAAATCATGTCCCTTCTCTCCCGGGTGGTATTGGTGGCATCAAACACCTGGGAAGAGAGCACACAAGGTAGACCAGTGGGAAGAGAGAAATGGGATTCCCACCAAGGCAAACCCAAAGTGGGTGTGAACAGCCAGGCTGCTGAACGGTGAAGACCAAGAAGGGGAAGATGCAGATAATGCTCACCGCAATCTGCCCACTCTCCTCGGTGAGATACCCCTTAACATCTTCCAGTGCCACGAGAGCACACTGTCTGCCAGGAGAACAAAAGAAATCAGCAAGACGAGTGGGGCAAGGTCAAGCTCAGTCATATCCAGAGATAAAAACAGTTGGATTGCTATGAGTCACATCCCTTTTCCCACTTACTCTACTGGTCAAAAGTTTTTCCTTACCTAGACCTTTCAACTCTCTCCTTGAGATTTTTATACTATCTTACATCCTCCCATTGCCCCAGCGCATATATCTTCTCCCTCTTTAGGCTTAGCATACAAGCACCTTTCTGAGCCTGTTCTTCTACCCACCCAAGCCCAAGGTGGCCTGCCCATCGCATAACTTCCACTTAAAATCCCCAAGAGATATTTACTGAAAGGAAAACAAAGCTGTGCCACATCTAGTCCCATGATGGCCGAAAGAGAGCTGACCCAGGAATGAGGCCTGAAATAAGACTTACTTGCGGATCTTCATGGCCTCCTCGTTGTCATGCCGGAAGAAGTCATAGGACTTATAGGACTTGACTGCTTCGCGCCGATACACCCCAAGATTAAACACTGTGGGAGATATCCAAGCCCTTTAGTAGTGAAACAATATAATGGCTCCACCAGAGGGGACTTCTTGGCCTAATGTCTGGATGGCCAAGGGAGTGAAAAAAGCATCTTGCTATGTCGGGAAAAATATCAGGTTAAGAGTCAAAACAGTTGGGTTCCAGTCCTGACTGACTAGACCTTCGACAAGTCTTAAGCTGTCTGAGTTTCAATTCCCTCAGCCACTCTATTTCACAGGACTACTGCTAGGATCAGACAAGATGATGCATATGCAGGTACTTTGAAAACGTAAAGCCCTATACTCATTTTGTCTTAACATTCCTGTCAAAGGCATTCCCTCAGAACTAGCCCAATCTGCCCAGGCCAGGAGGAAATAAGTCTGGGGCAGGGAATCAAATCAGCAAATCAGGAAACAATCAGTATTTCTGCCAAGAGCACCACATAACCTTGGCACCAGAGAGAACCCATCTCCCAGAGGTCTGTAAGTCCCAGGAACTGATCATTTCCCTCCCCAAGAAGCGACGTGCACCTACCTTTGGTGGGCACCCCAATCCAGTTGAGGTAGCGTGTGAGTTTCTTGGACACATAAGTTTTGCCCCGGGCTGGCAAGCCAATCATGACGATGAGAGTTGGGGAGTTGGTCATATAGGAGGCCCATGCTAGGGGGAAACGAAATGGAATAAACTAATTGATTAGGGGCCTAGTGAGGCTCATGAACAGGTTAGGAACTTCAGCCACTATATCCTTTAATCCTCATAAACCTGTGGGGCGAGGGTCCAGGACGACTGGGAGGGCAAATTGAGGAGATATCAACTGGGAGGGCAAATTGAGGAGATATCGAGTAGACTTTCCTGAAACAAAGTCAAAGGATCATACAGACTTTCTGAAAGTTTCCAAACCAAGACCTCTCTTTCCTATGTGCCTGAGGTCTTCACAGAAGTATCCAAGGTGGAAAGATGGGAGAGATAAGTGATAAGAATTAGAGAGTAATGACCAACCTTTCTTAACACAAGAATGCCTAGTAACAGGAGAATGATATAACTGTGAAGGAAGATCTTATGCCTGGAGATTCCACCAGTACAGAACTGAACTGACTCCTTTAACAGGTCCAGCAGTTTCCAGCCCAAGGATCTCAGCCATCCCTTCATACCTACTGGCAAGAATTTGCTTGCCCACAGCAAAAACAGCCTTGCATCAGAAAAAGAAATAAAGGGCATCCAAATTGGTAATGAAGAAGTTAAACTGTCCCTGTTTGCAGATGATATGATACTATACACAGAAAACCCTAAAGACTCCACAAAAAATCTACTGGAACTAATAGAAAGATTCAGCAGAGTAGCAGGATACAAGATAAACAGTCAAAAATCAGTTGGATTCCTATACACCA